AATCAACCTGACTAGTTTCATGGGTATCCCAAACTCTATCAGAATATTGTACAGTTCTTCCCTCCTAACTGAATCATAGGCTTTCTTGAAGTCTTATGGATAGCTGATATACTGTCTTATCGTACTCCCATTTTTTCTCCAATATCTGACGAATGCCAAAGATCTGATCTGTATTTGATCTGTTACGTCGAAATCCACACTGATGATCCTCAATAATTTCATCTGTATATGGATTTAACCTTGAGAGAAGAATATTGGACAAAATTTTGTATGAAGTTCATAGCAGTGATATCCCCCGATAATTACTACAGTCAGTTTTATTAAACTTCTTGTGAACTGGCACAATAATAGACTCCTTCCACTGATCCGTCTACATCACCCTACATAGGCTACACAGAACAATTGTGAAACTACAGATTTTCAGACACTGGTAGGATAACTTTGAAGAAACATCAGCTCATCGCTTGAAGCGTAGAGCAAAAGAGTATAACCCAGAATTAACTCTGAAACTATTAGCCTCACAGGCATCTGACAGAAATCCTTGGGCGAGTGATCTGCCCACTGCAGTGCCTCTACATACACAGAGCAGCAAACACAGAATAAAGTCCTCGTATGCTTTAATTCATAACTTGTACCCGCTATTCCAGTATTCAAGCTGTTCGGTACCGTACGCGGCCACTGTGGTCAGCCTGCAGACGTTAATAACGTTTCTCGAAATTCTTAAATGAACAAACTGAAAAAAAACGCTGTTTCTTTATCCCAAATCGTATCCGTTTGAAATGTCGCTGTAGTCGAGCTATCCTACTAAGGATTTTCGTTATTTCCCAAGCGAAATCTCAGAGAAATCCCATTTGATGCAGAATTAAACAGTAATTCTCCCACTTCAATCCGTGTTAAATTAATTTCTCATCATCAGCTTTATCAACAACGCGATATAACTTCTTGAACTATTCCTGTTACGTCTTCCTTTGTCTGAACACCACTTGCAGAGTTATATTGTGAATAGTTCAAGTTATGAAGCTCCTTGTTATGCAATATCGTACCTTGGTATCGCTTCTTCTTTGTCGAAATATTTTCCTAAGCATCCAGTTCTCAGGCACGATAAGCCTGTGTTCACCATTTAATGTGAGACCCTTGCCCCAAAACACGAAATCCTGAGAATAACTAATCACTACTTTCCTTTCATACGATATGGACCGCATAGAAAACGAGCCCAAAAATTCTTGTATTGTTTCGTGCGTATTCGTTGCCGGAGTAAAGTTCTTTAATGAGCCGTTGCCTAGTAATGTAAGGGGAACACAATATAGGCATAGATTGATTTATGAAGTACTCCGATGAGATGGGTTCAGGGACTATGACAAGCATTGTTTCAGGCGTTCAGAAATTGGTAAGGGGGTGGGGTCACAGACATACAGACAACATGGTGATCTCATAAGCGTACTTTTTTTTAAATTAAGGGGGAAAAGGCTAACAATAGGAGAATTACAATCTTCCAAGTGTTAATGTGTACATAATGCGCAATAATTGTGAAAATACTTGTTCCACGATAAGATACTTACAACAAGTAGATAGCCATATCTCACAACGGTTCGAGATGCATACCACTCTTATTGACATAAGCTGCACATCTCACTGTCACATGACGTCCCCAAATTTGTACATCGCAGAGACAGCATGCCCGTGCCAATACAATTATTCTTAGTTTCGGACCCCTTTGGGACACATGGCCATGTTTTTGTTCCTTCCAACACCACTTCTTTGTTTTGATATGGGGCTTCCTCTTCGACGAGAGGAGTGGTCTAACTACTACTGTCGGAATACTATTAACAGTAGTAGTCAGTCCAGGGTAGTAATTTGCTGCTGGTCTTCGCCAGCACAGTCTTGACTGCCTGGCCCACTCTCGTAAGTGTTCTATATATATAAAACTGAAAAAGTTACGGTGGAATGAAGATTCCGAAATTACTCAGCTACACGTTACCATAGAAACGAATTGCGAGGGTTAAAATGTTGCATGAATGAAACTTTTGTGTCAAGCCTATAATTAAATATTCTCTTTGTTTGCTAATTCCACGGAGATGAAAAACTGATAGTCGCTCATGTGTTGAGTAAACTTCCCGCTATTTATAGAACCTGACGTGTCATTACCATAATCACCAAGCCCATCATCCAACTTATCCTCAGTGGGATGGATCCAGAGCACGCTCTTACATCCAGTTTATTTAAGAACCACTTTAATATTATCCTCCAATCTTCCTATATATTTTACACATATCCGGAAAGTGTACTGAAATAATATATGATTAAGATGGCAGAAATACCTTACCTCAGATCGATGGCAGGATAAACAATAAGAAATGATGAACATGTGAAGACATGGTAGAAGAAAGGAAATATTTTATATCGGTACAGCAGACTCTTATAAAACCTATGAAATTAAATTCCTAGAGAATGTGAAAACAGCAGCTAGAAACGGAATCCTGCAGAACATGCAAGAGGTGGGGGCTTCAGGCAAATATACGGGACAGAATAAGAAGACTTCTATCTTCTGGGATATGACATCATTTATTTCGATGAAAATATGAAGCAGGTGCTGCAGTACTTACTTAATGCTGTGTTTTCTTGAGTGACATGTTCCCCCGAAAAGTCGGGTGCCTTCCAACGGTCTATAACATGCTAAATCCCAAAAGATATAGCTCTTCATTGAGAACGCTGTGAGAACCTCAAATCCTACATGGAACAAATTAAACCATTGTAACTGGAATAAGCCACGATCTTAAATCATGATGTTGATGTATGTGTCTCTCCCTAGTGCTCTCTTCCTGAGCAACATTCCTTATTTATAACGGCGAGTTCGTATGTCTTTGCTCCAAACAAAAGCCGAAGGACCACCTCTTACCGCCAGTGCAGAATTGTGTGTTTTTTTTTCTTTTTTTGGATTCACACGTATTCCCAGTTACCCATCATGTCTGAAGGCCGTCTCCAGCCCCGCATCTTCAAGACGCGCCAAGACAGCAACAAGGGATCCACTTAACACGTATTTGTCTAACTTTGAATCCAGGCACTGGTTCACTGTCTCACAATATGACGAAAGTATATTCTTTTGTATTTTATATTACTATACATATTTCTAGCAGGGGGCACGCGGTAGCGTAGTTGGTTGAGGCACTATGCTACGAGCCGGAAGGTCGCGGTATCGAATCCCGATGAGGTGGATTTTTTCAATTTAACTAATCCTTCCAGCCACACTATGGCCCTGGGGTCGACTCAGCCTCTAACAGAAATGAGTACCAGGAATATTTTTGGGGGTAAAGGGAGGCCGGCGCATAAGGTTAACAACCTTACCGCCATCTATGAGCCGAGTGTCTAGAAAGTGTGGGAGCCTCAACATCTCACAATCCTATGGGCCTCCAAGGCTTGTTACAGGGATAGCTTTAGTTTTTATGTTTCTAACGAACGGTAGGCCAACATAAAGAGTCACAGTTCAAAGATTTACTTTCATACAAAAATTGTAAACGAGCTGTTCAATGTCAATTAACCAACTCCATGGAACAGATGGAAACTCTAAGTAATTCGTATTATTTTGTTGAATACGACGCCGTGTAGTCGGGCAGAATTTCACTGACGTTTCCAAGAAACACGGAGTCAGATTTCAAAAGACAGTACTTCTCATAGTCACCGCTCTAGGTGGTAATTTCCCAAAAGGAAAAATACTGTCTGTCGTATACTTGTAAGCCTCTTTTCTTTCCGACATAATTACTGATCCAACGGAAAGAGTGAGTCCTAAACCGTTAGTATCAACGATGAAACAGAATAACATTGATCTGATAAGTGAAACATAAAATTCGTGGAAAACCAGACTGACGGAGGCCTATTCACTGGGTTCAAATTACTGTAATCTATCAGATTTGATGTGAAATTTTTTCCAAAAATGAAGAAATACTCTTACTTGAAGTGTTGTATTCTGTGATACAAATAAATCGTCCTTTAATCGTATCTGTACATAAGCTTGCCTAATGCGGTTTATGTCATCAGTAGGGCGTAACTATAAGCACTCAACTCCTGTAATCTCTAACTGTGATTATTAATGCAGTGATTATAGTCATATTGGAAGCCAATTCGCCATTTTGTTATCAGTCGTTGTGAATTTATAATTATGAATCACTACGTCATGCAACCAATGCCATCCATCTTCAGTTTGTAATCTCGAGTGTTTATAAATTAACAAAGGATTTTCCACAACAAATAGTTCAGATTAACTCGCGCTTTAATCTGTTCCGCCCATTGATATAAACGACTGTATCATAATTGTGAAACTGAGATTTCCGCTCCCCAAGTTTCTGAGAAATTCATCGGAGGGGACTAACACGAAATATTTTATATGGGCTGATGATGTCAATGAGAGGTTTACAGGCCCATCTTCAAAATGCTAATCTTATCAGATGTTGATACGGTTTTGTAAGCACGTAGAACTTCAACGTTTATAAAATGTGAGTCACGTGTAGTTGAGGTTTCGATGTTGTATTGATTTCCTTTCATAGATGTTAACTTTTAAAAATATCTGCATTTTTTTCCTTAAAAGATCGTGTACAAATTATTACAAATTGTAAACAAGTCATCAGATACTGAGAATCCTAAATTTAACTAAACTGAGGCCCATGGGTACCAAATTTCATATACATAGATGTGGTTGTTTATAAAACGCAATAACAGATTTAAAATTGGGTCTTATTCTACAACCTGCACATGTGAAGAGATTGAAAACGGTCGACCGTCACTTTATAAAACAACAAAACATGGACGCAATTCAGTTTTTCAAGTAGATTCTAGATGTGTGATAATTAATGATCCATAATAAGACTATTACGTAGGGTATTGCCCATAGTCAGGTTACTTTCGATAAACTCTCCTTCTCTGAAACTGGATTCACTTTCGCCATCTGATGTCGTAAGTGGAAAGCGATCGTACACAGCCGTGTCCTACTCTCAGCCCGTGGGGTCACAGGCTCAACATAGTATGATAATTCTTCTCCTTACACCTGATGACAGATCACGCTAGGGTTGCCAGATTTTGTAAAATAAAAAAAGGAGTGATGTCTCGTTGCTTATTTATAACGAAATTTTTTCACAACTAATAGGCTATAAAATAGACATAATCAACATACTACATAACTTACAAAATGCTACTACACATTTATAAAACAAAACAAATATTACGTAGCCCTATTAGATATTTATAGAATGCACGAAAACATATCTTCCCATTTCTTAAGATATATTTGATTATGTTTGGCCTGGAATTTCAACTTCTTCCGTGGAGGAGTCTTTGATGGATCTTATTCGCCCTCAAACATTTTTGCTAACTTGACACTGGCTTTCACTATCACCAACAACCTCTGCTTTGGTTTATAACCTCAAGTGTTGCCAACACTCACGAAATGCAACATAACTAAAGAAACTATGACAATGTCATTTTCCAAGGATTACAGAAATTTTATGAAAATATTTAACCCATGAAATATAATTCGCAATGGACTTAAATAAAAAAACGGATAATTATCCACTACGGGTAAACAATAAACGTAGGAACAAAATTTGGGTGAAAAAACGGAAGAATCCGGGGAAAACGAGGTATCTGGGAACCGTAGATCATGCGTACATCAGATATGCTCAATATAATTGATAATGTCCGACGTTCAATTTTTCTAAGTTAACTAAAAGTGTTTTGTGATCTGTTCACAGTCTGCCTGTAGAATGGTTTGTGGAGGAACTGCGAACTAACCCCGAACTGGCGAGGATCATATTACACAAATTTGTGGATGCTGATCAAGATGGAGAACTATCCGCCGACGAGCTGCTGAGACCGATGTACTAATTGAATTTTAACATTCGCTCCTGCCGTACACTTTTTAGATTCCAGAAACAAGACAGATATTTATATAACGTAGATTAAAAAGACAGATGACAGTCAATCAAATCAAGATTACGAAATAATTATAATATTCGTGTACATCAATATCAACAAAACTGATATATAAAAGTAAGTTACCAGTCTCATAAAATAATAACATCCTTTCGCCTTGGATAACCAATTTAGTATAACACACCGGAAATCAATTTTATGGAGATGGTGAGGAAACACATTTAAGACGCCATTCTTCAATTTCAGTCGTGCGCAATGAAGCATTCCACTGAAACATTTAATTCGGAATTACAAGTCTATATAAATGTACGGCAAGAGCGAAACAAATCTAAAATCTACCCACAATTCTCTTTTTAATATTTCTATGATTTGTCTTATAGAATTCGCTTGTTTCTCGCGATAAAGTATCGTTATTGTTGGGTGAACTTTCTTTCTGTATATAAATGTATGTGAGCCCTCGCCCAACAATACAACTCCCCCTGTGTCACGAGCAGCAAAGCAAAACTTCTATGAAGCAGTCAACTCAGATAATTACCCTGTCCTAAGCATAAGATTTTTTTTTAATTCTACTGTTTCTTATATATGTTAAATATTAATTCAAATGTGAAATGAAAAATTAGTGAAAGTACTCATAATATGTGACTAAACTTTGTTTGTAAATCTGTAATCCTGAAAACAGAAAAACATTGTCTTTAGGATAGATATGATAAATCTATGTAGTAAAACAAACTTAAATTTTATATTTGTATCGTAAATCAGTGTGTAACTTTGAGGTTATATTAGAGTTGACTGCATTAATGCCACCATCACAAATCAATACCAGTTAGATATATAAGTTGTTTGAAACACGTAATCATGGAATACATTTTGTGTTCTGTACAGACAACAAAATAAATCCCAAATGGACAAGCAGCTGTTACGTAAGAAGAAATTTCTTTTTGTGTTAATATTACACACATCCCCCATCCTTTGTTCAAGAAATATCAAATATTCTCGAGGAAAAAACATGACAATTTCGCCTGAAGGATAAAAGAAAGCCCTTGGGAACATGTTCTTTCCTTTTACATTCAAATAACTCAACTTACGACGTAATATTTTCTCTTTTTCTTTTGCTGACACATTTGTGATGCTGTATTTTAGAATTAAAGACTTTTTAGTGCCGTAGGAACAAACGTGACTTCTTCTATCATGTCCCTAAGGTGAAAAGTTGTCACTTACATGAAACATGAAAAGACACGAGGAAGTTCTTCAAAGCGAACTAAAAGACGTGCACAACTTAAGGATATCTTGTAGGATGCACACCGTAACGCCGACAGCAACGTTTTTAGTCTGCAAGTCCATAACGCACCGACCTTACTGAGAAGCTAATAGTGAATTAGTTTGTCAATAAATACTCTGTTCTCTTCATTGTGTTCACGACAGTCTTCCAATTGTCCGATTCTAAGCCAGCTCAATCCAGCACAAACCTGTAATTCTTTAAGACATATTTTGCAACATAGCTATGCCACAACTCTGGCCGTTAGACTCTGTCTTTTCTTCATGGAGGCCCAAATTCATTCCCAGGTGACTTCATGTGAGATTGCCAGTGGAGTGACACTGGAGCAGGCTTTTTCTTCGGGTTTCTCCGGGTTTCCCTTACTGGTCACTATTCCACAATTCCTTCACATTCATGTACCACAGCCCTGACCAGACAGAGCATTACTACATCATCTATCTTCACGTTGGGGGCATCTTCGCTGTTATACAGCAGCAACCCTCTAGAAAGCTTCTGATACTGCGAACTGGCTAGTTACGTACTTGCAATCATTAGTATGGGGTGTCCGGATGAAAGGTATTAAAATAAAAAATTATATCTCGGAAAGTAATTGTCATACACGTATCCGGTTTATGTCATCGAAAGGAAAACACGTTGGTTATTTCCCATGCTCGGCTTACGCGCATGCGCCGCCACATTTCCGCCACCATGTTAGGAATCACCTGGAAAGAGAGATGGCTGTGATATGAATTGGCAGAGGTGGACCAATCGCTTTGCCTCCTAGGCCGCCAGATTTAACCACACTAAATTTTTTCTTGTGGGGTTATGTGAAGAACATTGTCTACCAGGTTAAGATTAACGACCTGCAACATATGAAAGCACGTATAAGGGACGCTGTGGCTATGGTAACACCAAACATGCTGGATCGGCTGGATATTTGTCGTGCCACCAAGGGAGCCCACGTTAAAATTTACTGAGAAAGTTATATATGCAGAAAAAACTTTGATAGTTTCCTTTTGTAGTGGTGAGACCCATAAATGTGTATAACAAAAACTTTCTGAGATATAATTATTTTATTTTTGATACATTTCATCCGGACATCCTGTATTTTAAAAATAAGGATCATAGTATTCTACTGTCCTAAAGCAAATACTTCACAAGAATTATCTACTTTATATGGTATATAAACGAGTCTTTAGTCCATGACGGTCTCCTAAAAATTGAATTACACGTAGTGCCAACAGAGTGCAGCACCTACTGTACAGCTGCGATACAGACATGGGTGGTATTCGAAGATCGGGGGGTAATTGGTGGATTTTCCCCTCTTTAGAGGATAGTGAATAATGAACTGGAAAGGATGTGGAAGAAACTGCCGCGGCATCTGCCCAGATCTATGTGGAAAACTAGGAAAACTTCAGAGAGGATTGTAGGTTCCCTGTCCGAGATTCGAAACTAGCACCTCGCGAATAAACGTCAGAAGGGCGACGGCTTGAGCCAAGTGTCCCGATTTTAAGTGTTTCGATTGACAAATGGAAGTTGGTGCATGAAAGTAAAAAAAGAAAATCTGAATTATTCATGCTTATCTCAAGCTTATCTAAAAACTAAAATATGAAGCTATAAATTATTTAAATCTAGGAATATCTTAATTTTTATCCACTGCTTATTACTTACTTACTTACTCATGGAGTTAAGCCCTTCGTGAGAAGCCGCCAATTCTGCAGCTACTCAATTTCCCAGAATTTTATGGAACCAGAAGGTTCATTACCGTGTTCACAAGAGCCCTCTACTGGTCCCTATCCTTAGCCAGATCAATCCAATCCATATCATCCTATCTCCCTGAGATCAATTTTAATATTGTCCACCCACCTACGCCTTGGTCTTCCCAGTGGTCTCTTTCTTTCTGGATTTCCCAGCAATATCCTATTTGCATTCCTCGTCTCATCCCATTCGTGCTACATGCCCTGCCCACCTCATCCTCCTTGACTTCATCATTCTAATTACACTTGGAGAAGAGTACAAGTTATGTTTAATAAGAAATTTTGTGGACATAAGAAGCCAAAGTATTCGCTCAGTATTTAATAAATTAACTTTCAGACAGGATATTAAATCAACTAATGCATCTCACGCACACGCCATTTAATTAACCTAATGGATTCAGTTTCCATAAGTAATAGTGCATCAACGAAACCTTGTTCACTGAGTAATATCTACCCCGCCCCATACGATCCCAAATCACGAGAGCCCCCGGTGTAACTAGAGGGTTGAAACACGACTGCACCTCTCAATATTACATTATCCAAGCCATCTACTGTACAAAATAAAATATGAAAATATGATGACAAATGAAAATGATGCTATACTATAAATAAACAACTACGCGCGCTGACCAAGTCACGCCCTCTATCCACAAAAGTTGGCACTAAATTCGCCGACAAGCGACGGTCGCCCGGTCGGTATAGTTCGCTTGCGGACTATAGGCCACGGAGTGTTTGTAGTAACACACCGTATTGAGCAGCATGAGAGCAGGATTACTGAATAATGACTTAGAAGGGATTTGGAAGGAAGCGGTAGTGACCTAATTCAATATACCACCTCGGTATTTCCTGAGATAGTGTAGTCGGTATAGCGACTAGATACGGACTGGGCGACTGAGGAGTCGGGGTTCGAGTCCCGGTTGGGTCAAGCATTTTTCTTTTTTTCCAAAGCGTCCAGACCGCCTCTGGGGTCCACCCAACCTCCTATGGAATGGACACCGGGGGGCTCTTTCCCCGGGGGTAAAGCGGCCGGGGCGTCAAGCTGACCACTCACCTCCAGCTAGTGCCGAGGTCTATACATCCACTCCTCCATACGCCTTCGTGTAGTGGTTAATTAGTTAAGCACAGGGACAACTTTACCTTTATCTTTTACCTCGGCATTTCCTAGTCGTAATTTCCCTACCATTTTACACTGAAGGGAGAGACACATGGGCCTAAAACGTATAACTGAACTAGTAACTGTGCAAGAAGTGACACGTTTTCCCTTTTGGTTATATAAGTCCCACATCATGGCGACGTAGGTGTAAGCGGAGTAAATATCCACATATGTTTAACCTCGGCAGCAGGTGGAATTAAGTAAGCTGCTTGGCCTTCCGGCCAAATAATAATTTAAGAGCAAATAAACACGAATATTGGCGAGCTACGTAACACAAATGAATACCAGAAACAAGCAAGAACAGTGGTCAGAAACAACACAACAAAAGCATGATCTACCACATGATACACCATTTTGTGGACAGAGCAGCACTAGGGCAGGGCTCTCTGCGGCACTTCCGTTTTCATTTAATGAATATATCACTCCACTAGTGTTCCATACTGCACCTTCAGTGACTGGTGGAACAAAGCTTCTGAAGGTCAATAGATTATGCCCAAAAATTGATTACTATATGTGGCAATACCGACAGTTGTTTTTCTTTGAACTTTCAGGGATTTCAGATTTAGTTTTAAGTTGGAACCTGGCTTTATGGACTCTGGCCAGAATATTATGCACGGCCACATGCTTGCAGTTCAAAATGTCTTGTTATCTTAACTCTCGCAGTTGGTTTGTGTCTGCTTAGCTTACGTATCGTGTCTTGTGTTGCGTCTGGTATCCCGATGGTAGGGACTAGCACTATCGATTGGGCCCAACCAAGTGGGCTTTTCACCTGACGAAGGAGACAGAGTTCAGCATCCGAAACGTCGTTCAAAATAAAAATTAGGATGATGGATAAGTTTTAGAAAAATATCCACTG